AAAAAAATGACCAATGCGGGTGCTCTAAATATATCTAGTCTGGTAATTAGCAGGACTTTGTTGGTCTAACCAACAAACCCTGTTCTTCATGATTAAGCTGACCAGCAAAAGGGTTTACTAAATCAAATTTTCCTTCTTCAGAGACAAACAAATCCCAAAAATCTCGTGATTCCATTGAAGGCACAACCGAGCCACTACTCTTCTCTAACAATAATCATGTTTCAATACATGTTGTATGTTGTCTTATAGATAACAACACTACGCGAGTAATACGAAATATAATATATAGATATACACACGGAATATAATATACACATGCATATATACAAGTACACATTGATCGAAACATTCAAATGATTACTAAAACGCACCGAAGTACGAGTATAAATTAACTTTATGCAGATCAGTTAACTTTCAGACATAATGCTGATTGACTGGTAAAGAAGATATATTACCAAACTTATTCATACTGCATCACAAACTCGAGTAGTGTTTTACACCACAGGTCCACAGAGGCAAAGCAAACCCAGTTTATCAATAGAAACATCATCTCATACACCAGAGTAGGGGATTTTACAACCCCACAATAATGATGCTTTTAACTTGGTATTGAGAATTTTATGCAGCTCTCAAAATTTCATAATCTTTTTACTTGGTATTGAGAATTTTATGTAGTTTTCAAATATTCAGACACACTGCTGCAATGCATAAGATCCTGGAGCGAGTTTATTGTTTAATATACTCTTGGTTTGTTCAAAACATGCAGAGTCTGTTTATGGGCTAAGCTAAATAATTTGTAAAATTACAATATGATCAAGTAATTTCACAACCTTATGGTTCCCATAAGGAATTGACAGGTTACAAAGAAAACTGACCCCAATACATTTTCTTACCTGATCGGTCCAGTTAAAAAAGGACGAAGAAGAATGGGAAGGAGAGATTTTTTTTTTTTTTTTAAAAAAAGGGAAAAAAGAAGAAGCAGCACAGGCTTGACATGCACAAGTCAGTGATAAGTCCAGGTCATATAAAATAAACAAATAAATAAGTCTGACTCAATAGAAAGGCCCTCAATTTGCCTGTAGTCAGCCGGCGTTTACTCCATTGGAAGATAATATACCTAAACAAGAGAACCACACGTAAACATTTCTTTTCCAGAAAATTCCATTGATATTCTTGTCAATACGAACTGCATTATTGTCTAGTTTCAAAGTTCAATCACGAGGCTCTCTCTAGTGTGATTACATTGGTCACATTTGAGAAGCTGGTTTTTTTTATGATGGACTCCCTTATATCCTTGGTCATCCTAATAAAGCCACTGTCTTTATTATGTGACAATGCACCAGTAATAAGAACTAGGGAGTGTGCCTTACAAACAAAAAGATAACATCACCAGCCTCTAACCAGATACACATAATTGCTGAATATTGAAGAAGATAATAGTTTAGTCAATATCATACAAGCATTCACAGGTCATGACAACATTGCTCCTCCTGGTATACCAAGGCTCTAAAACTATACAATATGCAAATATTGTTCATCTTATAGTAGACTCTATTCTTCTAAATTTTTGTGGTTCCTAACGAAAAGATTGTGTCTAATTGATTTATTGTATAAGAAGGAAAGCAAAGTAACAATGTTCCTTAGTAGTGAACTTGAAACAATTTACTTTCCGTGTAAACAGGATTTAGTTTATGAGTAGTTATAAGATGAACAATATTTACTCTAATCCTTAGACAAGGCAGTGATAGAAAACTATAGGAAAGAAATATTTCTTGTAAGTACATGCTTAACCAGTACACCCAAACAAAAAGGAAGCAAAAAAATAAGGGAAAGTCAGAAGGAATAATACAGAATTATCTCAAAGGAAATGGTGTGTGCATGGTGTAATATCACTCTCGCGATAGTGAAGTTTATAACTTATGAAAGTGAGACATACAGATAGTCATATATAAGTTCTAACGTAAAACCTCAATACCTAGAACAAGCGAATTCATAAACAAAAAGTGTTGATCACTCGTCACACCATCATGATGAAACCACCTAGCGCATTAACAGAATAAGAAGCATATGGAACACAACTTCAAATGGAATAAAGACAGCTGCCAGACACTAGATAACAAAAAGCCACGGTGCTTACTCATTACTGCAAAGTCTAGGTCGTGGAGTTCCCCATGAACAAACAATCTAATTTCACATCACAAGCAAAGGCTACATTTACCCTCTACATACATGAACTCCCCAATCACAACTCCCATACAAATAAATCACAGAACGCTAGTCAAGACAGAAGGAGGCAAGAGCAAAATGTACTGAATTCTGTCAACAGCAAGCAAGCGAGAACGGTGAAAAGTGAGGGAGTCAATCAGGCCTGAGTACCAGTTATCGCCTTCAGCTGAATGTGATCAGAATCAACGGCTGCATTGGGCAGGACCTCATAGGACCCGAATCTGCTTCGGATACCCAAAGACCGGGCAAGAGCACCGTAAACCACCAAGAAGATAAAGAGAACGAAGAGGACATGAATCACAAAAACCAAATCCAGGATGGCCACGGCCCTGAGCGTGGAATCCTCCAAGTCGCACTTCGTGGAGCCCTCAACCCCGCTGACCACGTCCAGGAGCTTGTGGCAGCCCTCTGGGATGAAGGCATCAACATAGAGGGAGAGCCCCGTCTGCAGGGCCCACAGCCCCTGCAAGCAGAATGAGGCGCCGAGAGCAGCATCCGCCACGAACAGCCTGGGCCAGAAGGCAAGGACCAGGCACAGGGCAGAGGAGAGGGCGGATATGCGGGCGGAGATGGAGGCGCACCTGGCCTGTAGATCGGAGGTCTGGACGGCAGAGGAGGAGGAGGAGAGGGCGGACTGGAGGAAGAAAAGAGCGGAGGCAACTGCAAAGAAGAGATCGGAGGGGAGAGGGAGGAGGGAGGTGGAGTCGGAGACGAGGAGGGCCAAGGAGAGAACGAGGAAGGAGAATATCACGGCGGCGGACTGGAGGGAGGTGAAGAGATGGACGGGGGTGCGGCCTTTGAGGAGGGGATCGGCGTAGGAGGAGACGAGGAGTTGGTGGATGAGGGCGACGAGCAGGCAGAGGATGATGAGGTAGAGGTGGAGGTGGCGGAGGAATCTGCCGTGGTGGTGGGGGTGGGCGGTGGAGGAGAGTGGATGATGAGGTTTGGCGGCGTAGTCGCGGGGGGATTTGAGGTGGTTCCTGGTGGTGCAGATGAGGTGGTACAGACCCTGCGACAGCAACGCCGACGACGAGAAAATCTGGTAAATTAGGGCTGCCATTGCCCTCAACAGAACCCAAATTCGAATTTACGAGCGATCAACAACTGGCTGGTGATGTCTGCAGCTGGTAATATTTTATCTGATTGTTTAACGGACAGTGGACGTCCGGCGCCGGCGGTGTGCATACGGGTTCACCTACACTCTGATTTTGGTTGAGAGGTAAAGTGGGCCAGAAATAGCAATTGCTGTGTTGAAAAGTGAAAACTTGTTGTAAATAATTACAAGATAATTGATTTGTGATATTTTTATGGCTTAGTTTTTTTTTTTCCAAAACGGTAGATATATTCAACCCAAATAAAGTTTACAAGCCGGGGAGTATACTAACTCCACAATATCCAAATATACAAGGGAGGTCCACTTTAAGGTGGCCTAGAAATAGCTAAACAAAGGAGATAAAAACCCCCAAGGCAGCTAGCAAACAGCTGGGACCTTAGGGTCAATACCAGAAAAATACAAATAGAAGAACAAAGAAACAGAAATGTAGTTACAGCAGCAAATGTACCAAGCCCAGAAATGAAGCTAAGTAGAAGGGACCTGCAGCCACTGAACCTCAAGGACCTAGCTCCCAGTGCCTTCAACTAGCTCTTACTCTTAGAAATGGATGAAAATTCTTGCCAATCTCTCCATGCTGCTCTCACAACCACATCTTCAGGCATACAAATCTTCTGAAACTTCCAAAGATTCCGCGACTTCCATAACCACCATAGAATGTAGGTGGTTAATTGGATTCTATCCTCAAACACTTGCTTCCTCCCCACGGAGCATACCAAACACCACCATTCTTTAAAATCTTCAGCTTTTTGAATAGCTTCCTCCCAGTTCACCTGAGCTAATTTCCAGATGGTTCTTGTTCTTCTACAGTGAAAGAACAAATGCTCTGCAGTTTCAATCTCTTCTCCACATCCCTCACATATGGGGTCAATCAATAGGCCTTTCTTCAGCAAATTTCCAGCCACAGGAAGCACATTGTTGAAGCACTTCCAAAGGAAGTGTTTCAGTTTACCCTTTATCTGCAGCTTCCAGGTTCTCCTTCTAATTTTAATTAATCTAGCATTTGAGTCACTACCTTCTGGGATGTCCCAGCTTCTCCATTTTTTTAAAATCAGTTCATTATAAGCACCTTTAACATTATACATCCCTTTGCTATCCAGATTCCACACCCATCTGTCCTTAAGAGCTGGATTTAATGTTTTGATCATCAGAATTTTCTCTCTAGTCTGGGGTGTGAAGAGAGCATTTAATAAGTTGTGATTCCAGCTCCTGCCATCCTCCTCAAGCAAGTCACTGACTTTACTGATATTGGGATCCCAGACATTAGTGCTCTCAGGTTGGATTACTCTAGCATTTTCCACCCAGGGGTCTTTCCAAATTTCAGTAGTGGTACCATCTCTCACCTCTTTAGAAAAACAGCTTTTATATTTATCCCTTACTCCCAACCAACTGCCCCACAACCATGAAGCATTAGAGCCTTTTTGAGCATGAAAAAGAGAAGAATGAGGAAAATACCTGGCCTTAAGCACTTTACTAACCAACAGATTAGGTGAAGTAATAAGTCTCCACATCTGTTTAATGATCAGCGTCTCATTGAAAAGCTCAATGTCCTTGAAGCCCAATCCACCTACATCCTTAGGTAGAGTTAATGAATTCCAAGCTTTCCAATGGATTCCTTTGTTCTGCTTTTCATCTTTGGACCACCAAAATTCAGCACACATCCTGGCAATATCTTTACAAACACCCTTCGGCAAACAAAAGCATGACATAGAGAACACAGGGAGAGCATCAATGACAGCTCTTATTAACACTTCCTTACCTGCAGTAGATAGGAAGTTATTTTTCCAACTTACCAGCCTGTTTCTCACAGTATTCAGCACATAAGCAAAAGCTTCTCTTTTTGATTTCCCTATTCCCAAAGGCAACCCAAGGTATTTTGTAGAATTATGGACAGAAATCCCCTGAAGAATCTGGCAAATCTGTTGCTTCACGTTGTTGGGAGTATTTTTACTAAAAAAGATAGAAGATTTACCCAAGTTCACCTTCTGGCCAGAGAAGTTTTGATACTTATTAAGAATAGCAATCAGCAGATGAGCTTGGTTACAATCAGCCTCACAGAACACTAGTGAATCGTCAGCAAAGAGTAAGTGAGTGAGAGAGGGACCTCCACTAGCTAGCTTTATTCCCTTAAAAGCACCCCTGCTCACCTCAAATTGAATCAACCTGGAAAAAATTTCAGACACTATAATGAATAGGTAAGGTGATAGAGGATCACCTTGCCTAATCCCTCTAGTTGCCTTCACATATCCTTTAGAAGCACCATTCAGATTGAAAGAGTAAGCAACAGAAGACAAGCAAGCCATAATCCACTTGACAAAAACACAATTAAATCCCATTCTCAAAAGCACCTTCTGCACACAGTCCCATTCAATTCTATCGTAAGCTTTCTCCATGTCCAATTTAATGGCCATGTACCCCTTTTTCCCTGATCTTTGCCTGTTTAAAAAATGAATCACTTCTTGGGCAATTATAACATTATCAAGAAGCTGCCTTCCAGGAATGAAGGCAGCTTGGTTCTCACTGACACAAGAATGCAGACAGTTCTTTAACCTACTAGTCAAGATTTTAGAAATGACTTTGTACACTACCCCACACAGGCTAATAGGTCTGAAATTTTTCAGGGATTCAGGGTTAATACATTTAGGTATGAGAGTGATGAGGGTATGGTTCAAATTTTTCAAAAGTTGGCCAGACTCAAAAAAACTAGCAATGGCAGCACAAATATCAGCTTTAATCAGGGGCCAAAAATGTTGAAAGAAACAGGGGGACATACCATCAAGCCCTGGTGCTTTTCCTGGATTCATGCTCTGCAAAGCCTCTTTGATTTCATCTTCATCAACAGGTGCCACTAGTTCAATATTCATCTCCTGAGTGATGGTGATGGGAATTAATTGCAGGAGGGCTTCTCCACCCCTCGAGCCTTCTGAGGTAAACAGCTGTTTGTAGAATTCACTGACACAGAGCTCAATACCTCTTTCAGAATCCCACATATGACCTCTCTCATCCACCAGCTTAGTAATGGAATTGGTTCTTCTCCTCTGAGTTGTAAGAGCGTGGAAAAATTTGGTGTTTGAATCGCCTTCTTTAATCCACTGAACTCTGGATTTTTGAGTCCAATACATTTCTTCTTCCTTCGTGATAGTATCCATCTCTCTCTTAAGCCTCTCCCACATCCTCCAGTCTCTATTCTCTCCTTGCTTGCTCATTACATTCAAAGCCTCATTAATTTCCACCCTTTTTCTCTCTGCTTGGACTCTGAAACTACTACTCCACTTCAAAAGAGCAACCCTGGTGGCTTTGATTTTCTCTAGGATTTGAAACATGGGTGTCCCAGATTGCTCTTCTTGCCAAGCAGTTTGGACAACTTCTTTCACTCCCTCCTTTTTAAGCCATCTTCTATCGAAATAGAATCTTTTCTTTCTCCTTTCTTTGGTTGAGAGATCCCCCTCTGTGAGGCATAGCATCCTGTGGTCTGAAGCACTCCTGAATATATTCTGGACAATAGCATCATTATTTTCTACCAACCAGTCAAAAGAAGCAAAGATTTTGTCAATCTTCTCCTCTATGAATTCCCCATGCTCTCTGTTATTAGCCCATGTATAGTCATGCCCCACCATTGGAATCTCCAGCATCTCCATTTTGGCAATAAATTCTCTAAACCCTTTCAGCTCAGCCTCTGTCTTCTTCCTTCCCCCTTTCTTCTCCCCAATCTCACTCACTTCATTCCAATCACCCCCCAGAATCCACCTTTTTCCCCATTTGCTTTTGGCTTTGAGCAGAAAATCCCACTGCTCTTCCCTGATCTTCCTCTCAGAACTAGCATATACAAAAATAATCCAGCAAATGTCCTTGCACCCTGGAACAATAGCTTCTACTTCAAAACAGAAGGGGCTGGCAATGATATTAATAATATTTACATCTCTATTCCAGAGCAAAAGAAGTCCTCCACTGAGACCCAGAGGATCAATAGCTTGCCATCTTCCCCCAAAACCAGCTTTTTTACAAACAGTTTGAATAAAGTCTTTTTGTTTTTTTGTCTCAGATAGAAAAACAAAACTTGGGTGGTAGAATCTAGACGATTCCTTGAACTGGGCAACTGTAGAGGGTCCACCCAGACCTCTACAGTTCCACATTATAATCCTCATTTGAACAGTTGGGGCCACTCAAGGCTGGCTTCCTCCACCTGATCATCAGCACCTTTCAACTTCTTTTGATTTCTGCTTGGCATAGCTAAATTGCTGTTGCCTTCTCCCATGGTGTCTTCTGGTCTTTGTTTCCTCTTATGGATGTGAGTTTGAGCTTCCTCATCCATTCTTTCAGTCTCTCTGATCTGGATTCCTCCTTTCCTGTTAACTCTTTTCCATCCTGGTTTCTGTTGTTTAGAGGAGGGTAATTGACCCCTTGATCCAGCAATACCAATTGGAACATCTTGTAATTCCTTGAGATCAACTTCTGAAACTGATATCACCTTTTCTCCTATCTCCTTAAGATTGTTTGCTGTTTTCTCACTGACAATATTCATAGGGCACACATCTGGTTCATTAGTGTTGTTGGATTCTTGCGCATACAGAGTGAGTTGCCTGTTCACTGGTTCTTTTTGGCTGCTTCCTGCCTCTTCAACTTGGCAGTTACTATTCTCCTTACAACACTGATTTTTAGTTGACCTTTCTGGAGAAATGGTGCCTTGATCTTGTCCCCCAGATTCCTGTGTAATAGGCTGGTTCTGAGAAGGAGAGTCATTTGATGTAGTAGCTGGCCCTGAAAATGTGGAGTTTCTGGGCCCAAAGTTCCCATCAATTGCCTTAAGCCATTCCCCGTACTGGCCTTCCTTCAGTTCTCCCTTACTTAGATCACTCACTCTTTTCTCACATGCTCTTTCTAGGTGCCCTAGAATCCCGCAGTAGAAGCACACATTTACGAGCTTTTCGTATTGAAAGTGAACAGTAGTTTGAGCATTATTCAGCTTCATGGTAGCACATCTGGGAATTGGTTCAGATGTATCTAGAACAACTAACAGCCTCAAGAAGCTGCCCCTTGTGCCTCCTGCCTTCACCACTAGGACATTCTTGGTATGTTTGAAAGCCTGCCCTATTTTGAGACCCACATCAATACAAAGCCAATTAATAGGGAGGTTGTTAACTTGCACCCAGATATTCAATTCAGAAAATCCCTTGTGATCTTCATTCAATCCTTCTTCCCACTCTCTAAGGATCAAGAACTGGTTCTCAAATATCCAATTCACACCTGCCGCCACCTTTTTCTTATCCTCCACACTGCCGAATATGAATTGGAAAAAATTTGTCTTTAATTCTTTCACCTCCACTGGAAGTTTTATCTGCCATATCAAGCTCATGGTTCGCCGGATACCGATCAAACTGGCCTTCCTGTCTCCCAGAATCTTTCCAAACAGACTCATTTTACACTCATCATCACCAATGCGAGTGTCATCATTTCGAAGTTCAATAATTTTTTTTTTCCGACCGAGATAGATCAATGTTGCCCAAAATCCGCCCCAATTCCTCGGTGATCCTTTTAGAACTAGTGGCACCTGTAGATTCGGATTCCATCTGAGACCTGCAAAACAGAAATCAGAAAAAGCCCAAATAAAACCCCTCAAGGCTGAAACCCTAGAACTCCCCTGCCCTATCTCACTCAGCTTAGAAACGAAAAACGGGAGCCAGCGAAAAAAAAAGAAAACAGAAATAGGAAAGGAAAGGAAACCACAACACTCTCACTCAATCCCCCCAAGAGAAATGCTAGCTCCCAAAGAGAAATGATCGCTCCCACCGGTTTATTACACGGGTGCTTGCTAATTTTATTCTTAAAATCTAAAATTAATGACAAAAGTAGTTTGAAAATTTAAATACCTTTTATAAGAATATATATATCATTATATACTTATTATGGCGTTTTTTATTTCTGCGACTTACTTGTGTTATATTATACTAATTTTTTTAACTTACAATATATAACTACATTAAATATAAATATATCAATTGAGAAATAGTTTTATTTTTCTAATGAATTTTAATAAATATTATTATTTTTTATTATTATAAAGATAAATATAATTTATTTATTTCATATATACAATATGGATGTCAAATCGAAGATCATCAAAAGATGATTAATTTGATATATTATATATGTAAATCCGATAAGAAATACAAAAGTTATCAATTTTTAAAATACATTTATAATTCAATAGCTTATTGAAGGAAACAAATCAAAATTCAGGGATATATTAGTCACTTAGTGCCTCACTATGTAAAATTACAAAGAATTAAAGGGTTATATTAGTATAAGTGATATTAAAATACCTAAGTTAGCTAAATAATATTTATGGAATACCCGAACCTATATTATTAATTACTAATATATCAATATTATTTGTCCAAACCTAATTACAAAGCATGATTCTTCGCCAAATAGGATTCCGAAACATCAGAAGCAGCCACGTAGGCTCAGCGCATTCAGAAATTATATATAGGGAGGATTTGTACTTTATCGATCAATTGTTATATGCTTCTGAAAATAACTTTCCTTTTTGTCGGCTAGTTTTTTATATTCCTTAAACAGGGAAATGTTTAGACCTCGTTGCCAACCATCCCGTCGAGAGTTTTAACCATTGGATACACAGGCAGTTATCAACCATCCCGTCGAGAGTTTTAACCGTTGGATACACCCGACCGGATGATTTCATAACGAGACCTACGCATTTCCCCTTTAAATATTAGTAATTTTATTCTATTTATTGTTGGAGAAATGCTATATTTACATAACATTACACATATGAATGAACATAACACTCACATGTCTCACTTAATTTGTGAGTGAACATAACACTCACATGAATGAACATAACACTCAAATTAAGTGAGACATGTGAGTGTTATATACACGTCTATCTACATTTGTTATGAACTTGTAACATTTTCCTCAAAATAGGCAGTCACTTTAAAAGAAAATGAATATAAATTGGTTAATTCCGATAAATTATCAAAAAACACGCAAAACCATTTTGGCAAGCATTTAAAAAGCAATCAAGACAAGAAAACAATAGAAGCTGGAATGGAGCGCAACACTCTTCAAACACAAAACCCCGCATTGTCAAATTTCCAAAGTCAAACACAATCGATATCAGTCAATGTCTCGCCGTGTCATGCATTTGACTAAATGTTTGGCGTTTCATTCAAATTTTGGGTGTTGCTCAAGTCAAATTAAAAACAGCTATCCAGTTTTTGTAACTCAGTTGATAATCTGGCCCGGTGCGTACTCCTCCATCAGCTTATTGAGCTCCTGATCAAGTTCCTTCTCTAGAGCCATCTTCTCATCCCAATAACGGCGCATTAGCTCCATCATCCTCCCCTCGTGCGCCTTAATAAGACTCTCCCTCTTCTCCTGAAACTCCTTCATTTCTTTGTCTTGCAGCTGGATGAATTTGTCAATTTCCTCGGCCCTAAAAAAACCAAATCCAACAACACATCAAAAACAGTTGAAAAACATTAACCCTACAAGCGAATCGTGTTTGATAACTAGTCGATCAACTAAGCATGCGTGAACTCGAACTAGGGTCTTTAGAAAACAACTAATCAGAAAATAAGAAGTGGAGTGTATTCTACGTTCATATACGAGCTCCATAAAATAATGGAACTTTTATCGCGCGGTGATGTTACCTGTGAAGGCGGTCTTCTCCAAGAGATGTATTTGCGTCCGACTGAGTGAACTTCTCCCTTTCGAGCTGCTGGAGTTTCTCAAAGAGCTCTTCCTTTTCATTTCTTGCATCATAGAACTGTTGGATTTGCTCTTGGAAGAACTTTTCTTGGCTGTCCATCTGATTCATAATTTTTTTAAGTATAAAAAAATGCATCAATACAGACTAACTGACAAAAGAGCAGACAGCTACAAAGTCTGACTTGAAAAAATAAAAAACAGAAGACTGATTGACACTTGAAGACGCAATAGAATCCATAAAAAACAGCTGCAAAGTCAACATCCAATGCACAAACTGAATTCAAATGTAATAAGCACAAAACCTATTTATTTCTAACTTATAAGCTTCATAAACAACTTAATTAAAGCTCTGAATTACAAGAAAATGAAGAACCATGAAAAGGCAACTAGGTAAATATTCCATAATATCACCACAAAACAGCTGCTTGCAACTGTCAAGTTTCATAATGAGTAAACATACCTCCTCTTTGTTCTGTTCATGATGTTTTTTTGTTTTCAGTTTAACTACGCGATTCTCATCCATGGTCCTCCGAAGCTTTTCTGCGACGAGACCCAGAGACTCTTCCAGAGCTTTCTTGCTCTTCTGCTCTCTGGAAATTTTGTGTTTTAACCAATGGATCTGCTGATTGTCCTCACTCATCTGCTTCATCTGACTGACAACCATTTCCTTATACGAACGCATCTCATACTTCAGTTTGGACTTACCTAATTCATTTAACAAAAATGGCAAATGTTCAAGTAGTACTTACCAGTTACCAGAAATATCAAGACTGGATGAAAAAAAAAAATAAATAAATTCCAAAAGTACACAGACTAATAAGAGAGCACCTTGACAATGCTGGTTGAAGTTGTCCATATCATGTTTCTCTGCCATGTAACCATACAGTTGGCGTTTACCTCCAGAGTAAAAGGGAACCTTAGTTCTTGCCCAGGCAACCCTGTCTCTGAAATTGTCTTCAAAGTGCTTGCTCAAACGTTCAGCCTCTGCATAACCCACCGCCGAGGCCTCGAAAATCAACACACTCATCCCTCGGTGTCCCTGTGGTCCATAAGAATGTCGGGCCTTCAGAGCAGCATATGCACTGAAGTAGTCCAGTAGCTCTTGGTTCCCCATTCCAATCCACTGCAAAATGAAGTTTGCACATGTCAACGACTTGGAGTACAATCAGTTCAATAAGTTTACATTGAGGAATCAGTTAAAGAATAATTAAAACTACTGTGAAATTCTTGATACCTTGTCTTTGTCATCTTTCTCAAGCCTGGTATTCATGATGACCACAATTGGTGGCCAAACTATTTCTCTGTCAGGTTCTTCTTCAAGGCCTTTCCATTTTCCAAACACTTCACCAGCTGGCACAGCCGATGTTCCCCTCCTCTTTAATTCCTCCTCCAACAGCGCAGCAAGTTCCCGGTGAAGCTTCACCCGTTTGGATCTCTTGGTCTTCGCATGCGAGATGAGGGGCTGCAAGCCACGATACCAATCAATAGCACCAGGGCCTCCTTTGCATGCCGGGCAATGCCACTGTCTTTCAGGCTCACTAATCTGCTCAACAGTCAACCCGTCAAGAGAAACGAAAAGTTCCTTAAACCATTTGTTCATCTTCTTTGTGTCATGACTTTTTTGGCTTTCATCAGAATCGAAACCATCATCATTATCACTGTCATCGATGTCATCTTCAGAATCTTCAGCGTCATCATCAACTTCGTCAGATACTGGGGTCTGATTGCTAACAGGGTGAAGTTTGTGGGCTTCCACGCCATCATTGGAAGAATGACTGGAAGTAGCCCTATTGGACCATCCCCATCCATTCTTCAGAGGAGGGGGGATTGCAACAGGACGTACACCATAGTGAGGAGCAGGAGTCTGGTTAGAGAAATGGGGGTTGGAATACCCTCTGCCAGGGTTTTTTCTAGAATCAGAAGGTTGTGTAGGCCTGTTCTGTCCTGAACCCCTTCCCAGCCCAGCATGACCTTGCAATCCATGTTTTTCCATGGTACCAGAGTTACCCCATGCTCTAGTGTTAGATTGTTGTGCCCCCCATTGCTTTCCTGCATTATTCTTATTTTTGTTTTTAGTTTTCTTTCCATATTCTTCCCATCCGTCATCTTGTGCAGAGTTCATATCCATATCTGAGACTGCACAAGTAACATTGTCAATTACAAATTAGAACTCGACAGTGACAACTGAAGTCATCATTGCCTAATTATGAAGCCTGGAGTAAACTTTCCAAATGAATTAACAGTAACAATGTTGTGATGTAGTGCTTCCCTTAAAGATATACGCCATCTAGTGCCTAGTCCACATAAATGTCCCTCAGTGTCAGACCCCTGAATAGAAACCACATGCCCACCATCCTTGTTTCTTTACAAAACCAAGTATAATAGAGAAAACAGGGAAAGGTACATGCAAAAGTTAATGGAAAACAAATAAATACATAATCACAAGTAGACAACTTTAACTAGGCTGAAACTATAGGCAACTGCAGGTCGAGAATAGTAAAAGATGAACTTGGAAACAAACAAATAAGAACACATTTCATAAGAAAAAAATATATATATCCAGAATTCTAAACAAAGCATTCATGGAAAGTACCAGGTCAAGCAAGCCAGCAGCAAAATAGACATTTCCCATCCATCAGAATACAGTTTATATCTTCTTTCATATGAGCTTTTAAAGTGCTCACGTAGCTGTGCGCCAGTTAAAATCTAGCCTTCCCCAAGGCACAAAACGAGAACACCATTTAGGATCAGCATCATCTCCTTTTTAATTATGATTTAAAATATTTAAATTTGAATGAGGATGTGTGCTTTGATCAAGCACGGTGGCGATATGTGATTTATATAGCCGACCCCACTAAGTGGGATTTTAACGGCTTGTTGATTGATTGATTGATCATCTCCTTTTTTATTAACCTTGCCAGAGATAGCAGATAAGAACAGTGGAAGGATCTCATGCCAGCAAAGTATACAATGCACACTGCAACCAGATAATAATTTATATTTGCCTTCCCAACCACAACTATATCAGATAAGAAGTTCTGGAAATGAGACTGTGAGGATTATATACATGTATCTTTCTGATGGAAAATGTAGTAATATACGTAAGTCACAATGAAAGAAAATAAGAAAGGAAGAGAATAGAGTATGAGAAAGTAATGTGTCCATATCTGACAAGCGAACAAATGAGGGACTGATCAATACCATTCAGAACGCCATCAAAGGTGTTCTCCCCCCTAATCGATGGATCAGAAGTAGTAGTTATGGTAGGATAAGTAACCCATTTTATTGAACTCACCTCTGAAGATATGAGTGATGGCATTCACAATAATGTCTAATATGGGGAAACATTCAAACAAACAAAATCTTTCGACAGATGTTGTAATAGGCATATAAAACTAAGAATAGAAAATCCATCGGTTGTAAATTGTGAAATCAGAACGGCTTTACAGTATTCATGATGCATAAAACTTCTTAAAAAAATCAACTTATTCTTACAGACTCCACCAAAAGGTAATTCAAATGAGACATTCGAGAAATATATACACCTACACCTACTATTTCTGTTGTTTCGATTTGAAGTACATACCGTAAATTGTTTATAAAATCAACTTACATCAATCCAATATTAACCAATGCAGCAGACCAAATTTGACTATGATAGAAACGTGGCCAGTCACAAACGCTCGTGAGCAATACAAAAGGTAAAAGGAATATTTGGAGTGTTATGGAAAGCTTCACCTGGACAGAGATATACTTGGAGGAAAATGAAATAACCATTTCAAGAATAGCATTAGGAAATCGAAGACGGCGTACATATTCATATTCAAGAATCAAAATAAACACAAATAACAGTGCACTAGCAAGTTTTGACAGAAATACCACAACCAACACCCTGCCGATGAGAAAAAAAAA